TTCAGGGTTTAGAAGTTTAGGGTTTACCACTTTGATGTGGTTTGTATAGGGGTTTAAGGGGGGGTAATCATGGATCTAGGGGTTTTTATTCGGGTTAAGACAGGATTTTATATGGGGTCTTAAGGTGCGGGGTTTTAGGGTTTATGTAAAAGTGGTAGGGGTTTGGGATTTAGAGGGTTTATTACTCCCTAGGGCTCCTGACCAGAATATATATGTCCGGAATGCCCCATTATTATGGGGTTAAAGGCTTTCGGGGTTAAGGGTTTACGAGGTTGAAAGGGTTGAATCGGGTGTATTGGGTTTATGTATAGGGTTGTTCTAGAGGTTCATGGATCCATGCGAGCAGTCCCGGCTTCGGTCGTGGGAGTGTGGTGTTTTTTTTGTTGTCGCTTCGCCGGGCTTGCAAGCCTGCCACCGTGAGTGAGTGAGAGTGAGTGAGAGTGAGTGGGAGTAAGTGGGAGTGAGTGGGAGTGAATGAGAGTGAGTGAGTGTCAGTGAGTGAGCAAGTGAGTGAGTGAAGTGAGCGAGCATCCGGGGCGCGGGAGCGAAAACAAAAGAAAGTGATATGTTGTTCGCTGTTGCCCTGCAGCGCCTTCTCGGACCCGGTTATAAAATTGTACCTACATACTGGCTGCTTTACTGCATCGGGTCTGCAAACCAGGCAGGATTTAACTACGGTCTCGGGTCCTAAACCCTACTGTAAACCCTAAACCCTATAAACCCGAAACCCTAAACCCTATAGACCCTAAACCGATTGGAAGCCTGGGCGCCAAGAGAGGCCCGCGAGCGTTGCCTTTGCAGGCTGTCGTCCGAGGTGCGCCGCATGGTTTGACCGGCTTCAGAGTTCTCTTCGGGTTTGGGGTTTAGGGTGTAGGGTTTAGGGTTTAGGGTTTGGGGTTTGGGGTGTAGGGTCTAGGGTTCAGGGTTGAGGGTTTTAGGGTTTGGGGTTTAGGGTGTAGGGTTTAGGGCTTGGGGTTTAGGGTTTAGGGTTCCTACAAAACCCAGTGTTTACAGGGTTTAGGGTTCCTACAAAACCCCGCATTTAGGGTTTAGGGTTCCTACAAAGCCCCACATTCGATCCCAGAAAGGCCCTACGCAGTCTGTGCACCTACAAACACTTTTAGAAGTTCTGTTAACCTAAACCGAGACCTCAAGATCCTAATAACAGAACCGGGAGCGGAAGCAGAACCACATAAAGGCACCCAAAACAAGATACAAACGAACTAAGACTTAAAGCAGCTTAAGCGAATCCCACATACAGCCTCTACCCCTGACACTCCTCTAAGCAAGAGGTGTTTGCGCCCCTGGATCAGCGGCTCCATAGCCACGAGCAGGTTCGCGAGGCCTGGCAGAGCTTCGCCAACCACTTTCTTCTTTGCAAGAGAGTACCATTTCGTGGGGTTTGATGGGTCTTTGTGGTGTCTTGACCTTTGACTTATATGGTTTCACGTGGTCTTTATGCCTTTGAAAGGCGACAAGGGTCTAAGAGGTCCTCCTAGAAGTGTTTAAGATGTTGCAGGTTTCCTTTTTGCAGGGTCGTAGGGAAGTTCTTGTTCTTTATAGTGTAAAGGTCTAGCACGGTATCAAAAGTGTTTTGTCTGCCTTCGCCAATTTAATTTGCTTGCGGCGTTGACAGTGTCGGTTCTTCGAACGAACGGTTCCTGATCAGGGTCTTGAAAATAAGGATCTTACGATTGAGAGTCTGCGTAGGGGTCCCCATTTTCTGGCAGATCACACGAAAGGAGAAGCCCCCTGTGTTCAGACTTACTTGAACCTGACGAACCTGCCTTTTTCGGGTTCCTTGTTATGTAAGTCCTGAAAAGGATAGGTTTTGGTGGGTTCGGGTAGCGTCTATGGGGAGTTAAGCACGAGTCACTCAAGCCCCAAATCGTAAGCATCAGAACCCTAAACCCCAAACCCCAAACCCTAAGCCCAAAACCCTAAACCCTCAACCCAAAGCTCTGAGGCATAGAATCTACGCCCTGAGCCAAAATTCCCTGAAAGGACATCCTCTTCAAGGAAACGGTTTGATTTAGATTACAGCCTTAAAGCCCATTCTAAACTCTCAACTCCAGGACCAAAGCCAAATCCTAAGCCCACAGACCCGAGCCCGGATGCCCTGAAAGGCCATCCGCCAGCGCCAGCGCTTGGCGAAGTTTGCGACCTCAGCACGGCTAGATGTGGCCATGCTGCGGAAGGGGGAGGCAGGTATGGTGTGAGTCTTCAAGCCTAAACTAGGATTCAGGGGGATGGCGGTTTTTGGTTTGTTCGGGGTTCATAGTTTTTTCACGGCAACAGCTTGTAAAATTTATAGCACCCCCGCACTAGCATATCTGGCATAGCATTGGTCGCTGAAGCTTCAACTGATTTGTCGAGGCGCTTGTTGCTCAAAGGCATGCCGGTTTGTCGTTGCTAGGTCTGGACGGGTGCTCATGGACTGAAAGAGATCCCAGTCACCTCCTTGGGCTGAGGAGGGACCGAAGGACCGCAACAAGTAAATGCAATGTTTCACATTTACGCCATGCTAACCATTGTCCATTAGAAAGCTTGGCATCTCGTGCAGGCGTATTAATCCTCTTGCATACGATGTCGGTCATTTTGTGAGTGCTTGCTTGCATTAAAACGTTAACATTCCAGCCATGTCGCCAAAGAAGGTTGCAGAATCTGCGATGAAAGGGGGGAAAGGGAAAACCATAAAGAAGGCAAAGCTGATGAAGGTCAAAGGCTTCAAGAAGAAGCCTGCTGCTTCATCGGTTCCGCATACACAGGGGCGAAGTGAGTTTACAGGTGCGGCTTACGAAGACGCCAAGAAGCATCCTTTAGGTTTTGCTGCAAAACCGCATTGTGTTGCATCGCATGCTGGAGTTCGCGCCTCTGCTGGGTAGCAGCCCTTCTGGGAAACAACACTGCAAGAGACCTCAAAAAAAACATGTAAAGAACGAGGTCATATCCACATGGGCTTCGCAGGATTGCCTGCCGGGAGAAGCGAGTTGTTGGCATCTTGGCAAAAAATTTCACGACCTGTATGACTACAACCACCAGCCGAACGACGCCGACACCACATGGTTGCTTTTCTTGCCCGTGCAGAAGTTCCCGAAAAACTTCCCGAAGCCGGTCCCCAACAAAAAGCCCTGCGATGCATATATCCTTTGCCGTGGGGATAAATTTCGGGAAGCAGTGCAGTCGTTTGTTGCCGCAGCGGGCAGGAAGCACGGCCTGAACATCGGGGATTTCATTACCATCTACAAGCAAAAGTATCCCAATGTGTTGAAGCAGGCAGCCGAAGACTTGAAAAAGGTTGAGTTCAACTATGAAGAGGCAACGAAACTTCAGCTGATAGGACGGAGCCGTAGTTGCCGAGATGCAGAATACAACTGCGTCACCAAGAACGACCTTAGTCATGGAAGAGGGCAAGAAGTTGGCAGACATGGCGGCAGTGCGTATCACACCCCTTGGCAAACCATCAAGGTGTCACGGGAGTAGTGCATTGGTTCAGCTTGAGGCTGAGAGCATGCCGAATTCTCAGGCACCGACACCTGGGCAGCCGGCCAAGCGGGGAGAATCTTACCAGTCAAAGTCACAGGACCTCAGCGAGTCTGAGGTGGAGAACTTGCGGCAAGCTCTTTTGGCTTGGAACCTGTCCCAAATCTGCCCTATTAAAGATAAATTATTAGAAGTGACCATTTCCATTTTCTAGGGTTATGGATTTCGGGTTGGGTATTGTCGGTTTTCCATGGGGGTGCAGGTATATGGGGTTAAGTATGCTATTTACTATGGGGCATACATGGTTCCGTAGCATGGGTTTCATCATGTGGGTCTTGGGGCATAGATTGTTATGGTTTGGGTGTTAGGGGGTGGCGCATGATTAGAAAATGGACATGGTCTCTGCTAACTCTGATATGGGGGATACTTTCCCACATCATAATAAGGACCCCCCAAAGAAAAGAAGCCCTGCATTCTACTATGCAGGTACATTGGACCTTTTCGGTCTGACAGTCTGAAGCACATTCGGCCTGCTTTGGCTCAAGCTTGGGGCGGAGCAACCTTAGGGCTTAAAGTTGCAATACAGGGGCTCACCCACACGAAAATAAGTTATAATATATTTTACACAACAATGAAGGCTAATATGTTGGTGCAGAAGATGTAGGGCTTGGGTAGGGTTCAGAATGGAAGGTCGGTGGTGTTTCGGGGGTGTGCTTAGGATTTCAGGCGTGTCCGAACCTTTTTCCTGCAAGCTCCAACCCCGAAAACCCCAAAGCTCTCATAAAACCCCCTGAGCCTGGAAGCCTGGACGGCCTAAGCCTTTAAACCCCCAAAGCCCGAACCCTATACTTGCAAGAACCTCATTAGACCCGCCTTCGATGGCGACTGTCTGTGGTGCTGCTCCAGCGGACGGCAACTGCGCAATCGAGCTGACTCCGCAAAGTGCGAAGCTCTTGGTTTGCAATCCAATCCCGCTTTAGGGCTTTCAAAGCATTATAGAATAAGGGATGTTTTAAAGCTTTAGGGTTTTGCATGTTATACCATATTCTAGTATGGGCTATTATAAGGGTTCAGGGTTTTCGCATATTATCCCAAAAAAGCTATTAAACTGAAGGTTACCTTGAGCATGCTGACGGACCCCACAGACACCGGAGCTCCGAGCTTGTTCAAACCCAAAGCCTACCCTGCTCAAACCCCCGACATCATTTGGATGCTCTTCTGTCCTAGTAGGTAGGGTTTAGGGGTCTAGGGTTTAGGCTCTTTGGGTTTAGGGTTCAGGGGATTGGGGTTTAGGGTTTAGGGTTTGTAAGATGGGCTGCGGGCATTGTTCTAAGGGTTACAGGGAGCATGAGGTGCCGAAAAATGTGCAAAGCCGCTATTCACAAACCATGCCTGAATCGTAACCCTTCAGCCCTGAACCAAACGTCCTTAAGCGCTGGATCCTAAACCGCATCCCCCTCCCTGCCAAAACCCCAAACCTTAGATTGAAACGATATTCTGAAATTGCCAAGGAGGCTTCTGAGTGAACTCCTTCGGAGGATGCGTGGAGCCCTGGAGAAAGGCCCGTCTACATTGTGCACTCTTTTTTGTCTTGCGGGGCTTTGGGGTAGCAGTTTAGGGTGTAGTGTTTAGGGGTTTAGGGTTTAGGGTATAGGGGTTTAGGGTTTAGGGCTTTGGGGTAGTAGTATCCCGTGATAGTGCGTATGTAGGCTAATTACCTTGCCTTCCTGCCCCAACCCATAAAGGCTTCCGCGGGCCCTAACAGATCTTGGCTAAGCCTTTTGTGGGAACTACTCCCAGAAGGACTTGCCGAAAGGAGTGCTCTGAATAACAACCTTAAAACCCAAATCCTAAATCCCTAAACCCCTAAAGCCTAGACCCCTAAATCCTAAAGCCCTAAACCCTAGATCTCCAAACCCCGAAATTCAAAATATTCCCGACACCCTATGTAAATCCCTAAAGCCCCAACCCTAAATTCTTGAGCTCTCTTATTTCGACTTTCCTCCGCTCGTGATTTTGTCAAACCCAATGAGGGATGCACCCTGTGAAACTTCGACGTCAAACCTTCAGATGTGCCAGCGGCTGGTGTTTGGGGCTTGGGTTGAGGGTCTGAATTAGTGGCTTTTAAAGTGTTTTAGGTGACAGAATTTTCAGGTTTCGGGGCTTCTTGCTTACAGTTTGAGGCTTAGTGCAGTGTTTAGGTCCTGTGGAGCTAGGCAAATAGTGGAAATCCTTCAGGCTCTAGGCTATGCCATAGCACTGGCCGAAAGACGGCTTTACAATCACTCCATGTTTTGGATAGTTCTCTGAATTAGGGTCCCGTTTAGGGCCCGTTTTATAGCGGTGCCGTACTATTTTGGGGACCTAAAAGGGACCCTACAAACCCCTCCCAGAAAGCCTTTTGAGACCTTGCGAAACCCTCGACACACTTCAAGAGTGTAGAAACCCCAAGGGAACTTCGTCGGACAGTATCGAAAACCCCTCCTGGGGCCTCAATATTAAACCTGAGGAATCTTCATAAAGCGTTCATTAAAATCCCATGAACGCCATAGGAATGAAACCCTGCTACAAAAATACTAAACCTCATAAAGAGCCATTTGCAACTTTTTTTTTGCAAAAACGGTTTAATGCTGAAGACAGACCCTTATGCCAACTGGTGCTCTACTGCAGGCCGCAGTCCTCGGTGACTCTCTGGCACTCAGGGGTAGATGAGGGTTCGAAATAATTACCAAGACTTTTTTGGGGGCTTCCTTATTACATGTATAGTACGAAGGGCCCCAAAACCCTATTCAAAATATTAAAGCCCCTACATTATATGAAGGTCTTTTCGGGGCTTAGGGCCTTGGGCGTAGGATACCCTTTGTTTCGGGTGAGGGGGGACCCTTAACCCCTAAACCTTATAGGACCTTAAGACCCTACAGGGGAGTTGAAGTTTAAAGGTTTCAAGCTTTCAGGGCTTCGCAAAGAGATGGAAGTTAAGGCTCTAACAAGTCCCAATTTGGAGACTCCAAAATCTGTCAACACGGGAATATGTTTGAGATAGCACGCGGTTTAGGAGTTAGGGGTTAGAGGAGAGGATTTTGGATCCATGGTTTGAGGCCCACCCAAGGAACCGAAGCCCCAAACCATAAACCCGGCAGCCAAAAAACTCCAACATCTAAAATACACCAAATCCGTATAGAGTATAAAGCCCTAACGAAGGCCTCTAGATTCCTCATGAACACCTCCATCAGCAAGGAAACACACAAAGAAGCAGTCCAAAAAAGCTAAAGACCTATGTAAACCCCCCAAAATTCACAGATGGACCACCTACTCCCAGATACCCTTATGCTACTGTCTAGGGTTACTACGGGTTACTCTAAGGACCATCACTATACGATGGGGTTTTAGGAGGTTTTGGGGTTTTGGGTTTTGCGCGGTTGAGGGTTTACAGCCTTCATGGTTAACAGTAGCAACGTTTAGGGTTTCTGGCTATGTAACAGCAGGGAACTGAAAACCCAACAATAAATCCAAGGCCCTCCATCAACAAAACAGCAAAACACAGAAACCCCAGAAGTAAAAGCCTTACACACCCAAACCCCACAACCTCTAAACCCCTAAACTCCCAAACCCCTAAACCCCAAAACCCCAAAACCCCAAGACCCTAACCCCCAAAACCCTTAAGCCCAAAACCCTAATTTTGAAAAACATCGACAATAACTGAAAGCCCAAGCCCAGGCAG